ATAATAATAACAATAATAATAATAATAATAATGATAATAATAATAATAATAATAATAAGGATAATAATAATAATAACAATAATAATAATAATAATAATAATAATAATAATAATAATAATAATAATAGTAATAATAATAATAATAATAGTAATAATAATAAATAATAATGAAACAACAACAATAATAGTGACTAGTAATAATAGTAACGATAATAATAAAAATAGTGGTAATAGTAAGTAATAATAACTAGTGTTAATAGTAAGTAATAAATAATAATATTAAAAATAAAAATAAGAATGATAGACTTTGAAACAAAGCGCTTTAAAATTCTGGTAGCGACAGAGTTCACAAAGCGCCGATTTATCAGTTCTGAGATACCCGCACAATGTGATGCTTCTCCTACTGGTGCAAGAAAGCATTGTCCAGTATTTCTTTTTTAATACTAAATTTTAAAAAATACTATTTTAGTTTATTAAAAATCATGAAAATGAAATAAAACTGCTAAATTATATGTGTGTTTCTAAGTACTGTTTTTATTCAGGAAATTATCGTTTGTCTTGGTTCATTAGTGTTAACAGAACCGCGTTTGTTTGTGGAAATGTTCAGATTACGTATCGGATTAATTATACAGGTATTTCTTTTATCCGTGATTATTTTCGATAACCTGTCTCTCGCAGGGGCAAAACTAAACGGCTGCATGCTAACGGAGATTGATGCTTAAATTTAGTCCACTGTGTTGCCGGATCAGCGATGTTCTGTGCCAGTTTAATTCAAATCCTTAATCTTATCATAGTATAGGTATTTTTGGTAAGGTCATAAGTAATTCTGAATTTTTTAACTTTGAAGTGACTTTACGATTATGCTTCATCAGTTTTTTCTTTTTCATATCTAAAATATTTGAAGGTAAAAGCAAGATTTTTTATGCCTTTGACGTTTTATCTTTCTTAATTTTTAAGAAACCTGTTATTGTGTAACTAAAGATTTATTTTTATGAAAGATTAGGAATTCGAATTAAATTTGGTCATTTATGCTAAATTACGAACAAGTGAAAATGTTTTACGATTGTTTCAGGTGTTGGCCAGTGAATTGGCTCGTTTTAGTAGCATCAGTGGAATTGATGCGACACAAAAATTACTTCAACTTTCACCATTTCAAGTGAAGTCAATGCTGTTCTTGTTGTTAAGCGGTCGTTTGCTGGAAGATTTTAGTACGGGTGCTGAATCTGGCGCCAAAGAGCAGCGTAGTGGTATGGGTTCTATTAGAAAGCAAATCGAGGAACGAAAGGTAAATTTCATATTTAAATCTTTTTTTAAAATTTATTTTGAAATATTAGTTTGGATTTTGCAAAATTTCCAGGAATAATTTTATTTTTCATTTCTACATCAACATTATACATCTCTTTAGCCGATATAATTATAGTCACGGGATCCATGTCTGAAAGCACTATGCATGTTGATACTAATGTATTAGCACCGAGCGATTCTGAGGAAACAGATGCTGAGGACACTGAAGCCGAAAAGTTCGGCATTTGGTTAAGACATCGTCGAATTGATGGAGCTTTGAATAGAGTTCCACCTGATTTCTATGCAGTATGTTTGAATGTTTCTAATTTCTTTTAAATGGATATATAGATTTCAACTCATGAAAGAAAATCGTGTTTTTCACTCCATCGAATTTTCAAAATGAATTAGCTAAGATGTGTGGGATGTTTTTTGGCACTAAAATTTGTTTTTTTCTTTTTTTTTGGTAACATTTGTTCTTACTTATCATGTTTGCTAAATTTTACCGTTTACTGGTAATCAGTTTCTTAATAGATGTTATGGGATACTGTACGACGTTTTCCTCGTGGTCTGTCAATCAATCATATTGTTCTGCATTGGGGTGTAACACAGGAGGTTTGCTAATTTACATCAACAGAAAGTTTTTGATTTTTGTATGACTGTTTGAAACTTATGTGGCTGAAATCCAGCATGGCTGCATCATTGGAAATGGTAACTGTACAAAATAGGAACTATCAGAAGCTTCATCAAGCTGTCTTGTTTTTCATGAATCAAACGCTTATAGTCATTGAAAGATTGGCAGATGAAGTAACTAAATCTAACATTGGAATAAAATGAAAATGCTCAACATCTGCATACTTTTTATCATTTTCAGATGACACGTAGAGAAATCAAATTTGCATTACAGGTTGAGGAAGTACTAAATCAGGTTTGCTTCGTTTTCATTTTGCTTATTTTAAGTATTTTCGAGTGGTAAGAGTTGAAGTGTGCTTTAAAAACTGCGACACATATAAATAATTCTTTCATACGAAACAATTGATGTCATTAAATGACTCAATTTTGGCGAAACAGTGATTTGTGTGTTTCATGATGATACGACCTTTATGGATTGAAGAGACGGAAATTATTGGTTGTTAGAAAAATTCAAGCAAAAATCTCGGGTTAAGATGTAGAGCGAATCCGTTGTTTTGTTGTTGGTCGATGATAAAAGCTTCGTGTTTAAATGGAACTAATTAGCATAGATATATTACGAATTAAATTCTCCAAAAAAAAAAATGTTCTAGATTGCTGAACCGGAATATCGTGAAATTATGATAGAAGCTTTGTCGCTTTTAAGCAGAATGGATCGTTTATTGAAAATGGATAATCCCAATATACCCCATGATCAACCTTTTGTAGTAGATTCTGTGATTCACAGAGCGAACAAATTGTTTGTTGAACATAACGTTGGTTTATCATTTCAATCCCGGAAATTTTATTTCAAAATTCATTATAATTTTCGATGCATTTTTATTCATTACTGTAATAACATTATTCAATTTATTTATTTTCTCAAGAATTCATAACCAGAAATAATGTGCGTTAAACTGTCAGTGCTGTTTAGCGCATATTGTTTCTGGTAATGAATTGTTTACCTACTGAGAAATTATTGATTTGTAAGAGACTTTCATATAATAGCATCAGAGATTTGCAAGTACTAAGTATAAACTTTCATATACTAGTGCATAAATTCCCAAATATTAGACGTGAATTTCCAAATACTAATAATGAAATTATTGTCTTTAACAAGTCCTCGATAATTATATTAGTTTTGTACATAGTAGATTTTTCTTCCTTTTTTAACGGAGATTTCTCCTTTTTTTTTTTTTTTTCTTTTTAACGAATATTGATCACATAGCGTAAGGAATAGTTTGATATCTAATAACATAAGTTTTTTGTTTCCGTACTTTTTTTCCGAATGTGTTATTCTAAGATTGACTGGTGATTCTGACCATATATAATCATTGTAGGGATAATCCTGATAATAATTAACTTATTTTAACAGAAGAAAATGGAAACAATCGTAATGGAATGTTGTGGGTCGTGGAAGCGTTGTGATGGTGCACAAGGGATGTGTCAGCACTTCTACGATTCAGCTCCAGCTGGTGAATACGGTACAGCTCATTATCTGATAAAAGCTTTAATGGATATCTTTGTTCTAGGAACTTGATAATACTACTCATTCAAAAATTATTCGATCATTTCTCAGTTTGACTTGTTTTAATTTTTTTTCCTTTTCAATCAGTCATTTAACGCTGCATCGCTCTAAGGCTCAATGTTAACTTAACGAAGTTTCAAAGCAGAGTAGCGACCAGAATTATGAGTAGATATCGTAGATATCTACACAGTTCTGGGTGAATATCGTTCAAGTAATACCTTGTCTTACGTTTGTATTCAGTGATTTATGCATCATTTAAGTACATATTTCAGTTCCTTGCTAACTAATCCATTTCCCTTCTCTTCCATTTTACAGTCCTTCATTTATCAACTGCTAATCCATTATCGATTTTTTTGATCGAAATCTTCCAATAATTCGTGTGTTTGTTTTTTGATAGTTTTATGAGCTTGTATTAGTTACATTCTGTGCCATTATTTTATTGCTTTCATAGTATCTTACTAGTCATCTTTCTTTTAGTACAACAATATTTGATTGGATGATTCTTAATCATATTGCATAATTGTTATCTTATTAATAATAGCATAGCTAATTGCCTTTTCATAATTTGTGCCTTTTCATTCGTGCCTTTTCTTTTATCCCATTTAAACGGTGTTTTTTCTGAGATTTAATATGCAATTTAGATAGGTTTGTTTTTTTGGATATATTTCTCTAGAATTATTTGTAGTTATATATTTACATACATACCTGTATATATTTGATAAAATTAGTTGGCGCGTACACCCGGAATGTCCTGAAACTTTTGGATTTCATGACAAAAGTCAAACTTCTTTTTTCTTTCCTCTTGCATAGTAGTGTTTATATAACAAAAAAGAGGAAAAAGACAGAATATGAGGCGAGAATTCCAAGTACTTTAGATTCAGATGGTCGAAATTTCGAGAAATATGAATCATATCGACGAACCATACATATTTCTTTGAGTGTAGTTGGTATTTATGTAGTAAGTTCATTGTACTGACATCACAGATAAATATCAGCATTCGATGGAAAACAGCTGGGCATGAAAATTGCTTTCAATATTAACGTTCTGTTGAGGATACCGGAATAAGTACCAACAATAAGACGATGGAAATGGCATATATATGTGATTGACACTAACCTGCATTGATTGCATCAGCTGGTAGGTACCTTTAAAATAGTCAATTTGATGAAACAGACTAAAGATTTGAAAGTGTCATATAGATAAATGTAAGGAATAAGAAAGATTTCTTTAACCCATTCTGCTTTTCTGATTCGTTAGTAGACGTAGTTAAAAACGCAAACTGTCGCGAAGTCCGGAAGTAGTCCGGAATGATATGGAAGCTAGAACACTCCTGGTACTTCCGTATATGTTTACAATCGGAGGAGAGAGGATCTAATCCGAGTTCGAGGTCAAAAGGTCAAGAATCACCTATTTAGGTGAAGAAGTAGCGGCACACGGTTGTCAGGAAGAATGACTAGATATGGAAGAGAAAGAGTGAACGAAGAATTATTGAATGATATGGAAACGAGAGATAGAAAGTACGTATATTAACCAGTAATCGTTCGACATCCTCTCTGTGTCTTACATATTTTTGCGGGAATAATAATTTCAAACATGAGCATTTCTTCTCGCAATTGAGCGTCGAGTTGGAATTTGTTCAGCGTCGAGTTGGAATTTTTATTGGGTCCAGATCCAAGACTCAAACTTGGGCCTAAGCCTAAGCCTGAGATCGAATAGTATCTGAATTCTTTGGAATTCAAATTTTAAGTTTTTTTTTTTTAAGTTTAATGAAAATGAACTTCCCGTGCTAACTTTGATTTGTGTATTGCAAACAGCGATGTTTTAACTTTACATTTTTACCTTTCAAAATGTGATTTTTATTCTTGGTTTAAAGAGTAAATACGTATATTATTACATATTTAGTGGTATGAAAGTTTTAAAAATAAGGAATAAATTATAGTTAATATTAGTGAACCTATAAGACATATATTTGATGTTTAAAAAATGTTCCGATAATTTCTTTTCGTCACTCTTATATTACCATTTTAAGTTCTGAAATTTCAAATCAAATTAAAATTTTCTAATGTTTATTTTAATTTATGTCTGCAAAAAATTTGTATACATATAATCTATAT